CGGTATCTGGCTTCCACTAATTTTTGATCAAGTATTCTAGAAACACCACTCACAGTACTAATTGCAAAAACTAAACAGTGACGTCGGATTCGGATTCCCCATCCTCAAATACATTCGGTCGAGTTTTATACCAAATATTATTAATTAATAATCAGTTAATTATCAATTAATAATTAACTCATTTAAACTGACCTCAGATTCGGATTCCCCATCCTCACATACCTTCGGTCGAGTTTTATACCGAATACTGAGTACGTACTGTCTAACTATTTATATCAATTATATATAAGTAAAACTAAATCTATTCCTAAATCTAACAGGACAGTGTATCTCTATTTATATGAATTATATATAAATATATCTAGGAGTATGGCTAAGAGGAAAACTATATCTGTTCCTATCTATTACATGAAGCTGATGGTTTTTTTTGAAAGTTCCATTTAAAATATAAGTCGAAATAGGCAGCTACTCGTGGGATGTGGGTGTGGGTGTGTGCGGGCTGTTGTTGTGCCTGTGGTTATAGGTGAATGTGATCTACTTTCCATTCCCACCCACACCCACACCCACACCCTTCTTTCAGAAAAGGGAATAAAACAAAAATTATTTAATTATTTCAAAAACGAAGAATCACGAATGCTGCAATTTCTTGCATAGAAAAAAAACGCTTCAATGACTAATTCTAAATGAAAATAGTAGAAAACTTACATTGCCATTTTGACAGATTTAATTAATACTCATTTCAATGTATCGTATTATTTATACATATATTTTGAAACAATATCAGATTATAGTAGATAATAATCGAATTTGTCCCATACAAAATAAAAACTATAATGATTCGAAATCTTATAAATCGAGAATAATCTATTGTTTTTGTCGAAAAAAAAATCTTCAAAAATCAATTTTCATTCTACATAGATTCCTTTATTTCACTTTTCATGAGATTTTAATCCAAACTACAAAAATTTAATGGACAATTTACTTCATTGTTGAGCATTGTTTATGATAAAACTATCGAATTATCATCGAATTAGAAGATTTCAATGAACCCTAATTTTGTTTTTCGCGGAAATTTTCAAAATAATCTGCCATAACAATATCTCTTTTTGCTCTGTAATTCATTATTAAGTCAAAGTGTGTCTATTATCCTAATTGTTATTATACAGTTAAAGACTATATAGCATTTGTTCTCGAATACTCACTGATGAAATGTCGAAAATTAATATTGAAAAAACGAAAACAACTTGTCTGCCGTAATATGTACATCATTATCACGAATAATATCAGATTTATAATACAGAATACTTTTTAATATTGAATATAGCTATTACTCGTCTAAAAATATGCAATTAATTAAAATTAAGTTTTTCACACCACTGTTACTGATACAAAAAGGATTTTAAAAGATGTTACGATAAAACCGTAATAATGCAAGAAAAGTTTCATTTATAATACCGCAAATTGAGAATCATAGATACACATAAAAATGAATGTGTGATATATTCTTATAAAGAAGCATAAAACAATGCAACTTAAACAATTTTTTCCGATCAGGCTACATCAATACAAAAGCCTTAAATACCCTGAATACAAATTCTTTGATAATGTTGAGAATGAATAATTATCAAACGATTATTACAACCATTCGTCAATATATTATACACGCTGTCGGTTTCACAAATAATGTTTCCCAAATGAAGTATTTGACTATCCACCTTCACTGCAACCAATCACATAAAAATTTAGACTGACATTATACCAACACATAATAATACAAAAGAAAATTAAATTTTTGAAAAAAGTCTTCCTTGCACTTTTTCAACATTAAACCATTAACAAAACCAAAGAAAATTTTCTTTCCTTTTTTGACATTGCTCCAAGTCAGAAAAATATCTAAAAAAAAACAAAAACCCAAACAACAAAGTTCTTTTGAATTTGTTTCTACGTACCTGTTGTGCCCCCACATCCCCAGTTTTGAAAAAACTTAAGCCTCTATGAAAAAATGCCTCAGCGATTCTCAAATTCGTTTTAACCAATTATGTATGTCCCAGCGTCCCAAAAATTTTCAAGCATTCATATTCCAGCATTCAGCAATATCTTTTTATTATTATAAATGGTAAATTAAAAACAATTTAGAAAGAAAAAAAAGATGCAAGAAAACTATTGATGAATATTTGTTATTGATCACATTCCAAAATGGTATAGTTTTTAGTTTAAAACAAATAAACATACTTGATATAAAAAGAAAACAAAACTTTACATAGTTCAAAACACAAATAAATAAAGAAACAAAAACAAAAATGCAATTCCAATCTCAACTAAATTCCAATCTCAACTGCAACATATATATGGTGTTTTTTTTTCATGTTATTACTTCATATTTTAAAATATATTCAAAGAAAATCTTAATTTTTCGTCCATGTTCTAAACGATGTTCAGAAGTTTTTCACTCAAAAAGGATTTAGTTTTCGAAGTTTCAATATCACTAATGATATAGTGTACAGCATGCAAATGATAACTACAAAGAAATTGTAAATATTCTATGGATAGTATGAATAATTCATACTAAACTTTTTTATTAGTTGATACAACCGAAGAATTCGATTGGTGTTTGTAGTGGATGAATCCATGTCGATTATTTTCTTGCATGCAATACATATATAATGCACAGAGTTGAATGGGATAAAAAATATTCTATCCCATCGTATGGAAAAAATATTCTACATCAATGTCTCATGTAAGAAACTATTATCCTATTCTTCATTATGATAAACATAATAGTTTGCTTTGATTTCAGTCTAATGTCGTCATGTTATATAAGAGTTTTGATGAAAGAATATTAGACATTTTTGTTTCTCATTACTTCTATCAAAAAAGTAGCCTGATTTCCAACAACTTTATTGAATTTTCTCATGAAAAAAGCATTAACAATTTCTTTTTTAAAAGTAGATCTCTATGCGTTGCTCTCGATCAACTTGATAAAAATAAATTTATCATTTGTATATGTTGATTGTATAACTTTTGATTATAAATTAATTTCTAGAGTAGTTTTTCACAAGTCGAAACTCAATAGATGAGTGTAAAATCTTTCGCAGAAAAGTTCCACTGTATTATATGCATGATAACGACTCGTTGATTTCATTTTATCCAAGAGAAGTATATTAAGAACTGGCATATCTTTTTTTGTTTTCTTTATGATCTTTAAAATAACAATTAAATTGATTTTACAACGAAAAAAGTGAATGTAAGATGAACTGAACTTTATCAAAACCTAAATTGAACTGTGACTGACTTGACACAACTAGATCAATACTTGTTAGTTTTTCATGAGTAAAATATTTCGAAAAGAGTATCTGATGATTTAGAAAACAAATAAAATATTTTTGATGAGTGAATGAAGATTCTCCTAACTGAACTAAACTTTTACTCCTGGAAGAACCAGAGTTATATGACTCGACTTTATCTTCTCGATTATACTAGGAATATTTTATGAACGTTTACAAATTTTAGAAATTCTCATATAACAATTTCATCTTGAAGATTTGCTAAGAAGACCTTCACGAAAAGTAAAACATAATTAACTGATCAACTTTGATAATTCAATAAATTATATGAATCGATTAGTCAAACTGATTTAAACATCCTGAAATGACTATGACAATGGATAATAGTCTTTCATATTCGTTATTTCTTATTTTGGAAAAGTAATCAATTGATTCGATAATAATAGTAATAAAACACACAGAAAAAACAGTTTTCAAGACACACAAATAGATGAAAAGAAAAACGAAACTAATTGAACAAGAGAAAGTTATATATGTTGATTGAAGATTTTGAAAACAAAATTATCAACCAAAGGCAATGTTCGATATAGAACTGATAATGACATTTTTCCTTTGCTTTCGAAAAGGAAAGTTAAAATATTTTACTAGTTGATTGTTTGCAAAATTTTTGTATCTTTTCCTTACTGCAAATCATTTGTCTTTTACTGCATTTTTCCAGCTTTTTTTTCCAAACAGTCTTTAAACGTTTATCTACATCGCCTTTCTGCTGCTTCTCTTTCGAACGACTACTCAAAATCTTTATCATTATGTTTTATTAACAAAGGAAGACTTTGATGTGCGTTTGAAGTTGAAGCTCGATTAACTTTTCAATATATATTTATCAAAAGAATGAGATAGAAAGATGTAATTTGTCTTGATGAAAAACACCTCGGATTTCCAACGTGTCTTAACAAACAACATGAACAAGCAGAAGTTACAAATCGAATGCATGAGTACTAATATTATCTTTCATTTATTAACTATTTATCTATGGCTTTTTCTCAATCATCCACTCTATACTTTAAAATGGGATAAAATCTTGAAAAATAATGAGAAAGAGTAAAATTAAAGAAATTAAAGAGAAAATGAAAAACAGTGTGATTTTCGAAGGAAGAAGAATAGGAAAAGAGATCTATATCATATAAAAAGAAGAAAAAAATGTTCAGAAAATATTAAAGTGATATATTTCGCAGAACTTCATCTAATAAAAAAATAATATACCCTCAAAAGTTTTTACTACTTGACCCTCCCCTCTTACTTCATAATTTTCTTTTGAAAATAGAAATGAAAGTTCTAGTTTTGCTTTCCTTTCAGGAAAGAAAGAAAAATGCCATCTCTAGTCTGATAGGATCAGTTACCAATTCCATCGAATGGGAAAATTAGCATGAAACATGATGTAACAAAGCAATTCATTGCATGGGACAAATCTTTCATTCTATTCTCTCCCATAAAGAACTCTATTAATATCATATCATTATCTATTACTGTCAATTATGAGCCAATGATATATTTCATCATGGGTAATGTGTCATTTAGGTAGTGGGACTTTACCATTCATTGAAAGATTCAACATTATATATACGTGTATATATAAGCAGAAAATGAAAAATAGAAATATAAAGAACTTTCATCATCAAGCCTTGATTATCTCGATAATATCAAATATAAATAAAAATAATGGTCGTAACACTATTACAACAACAAAAATCATACGAATATGAACATTTACCAAAAATAAAATTTTCCGAAGAAAAATCAATCTCAAAACAAACAACAACAACAATGGCAATAATATCTAATTTTCAAAATTCAATACCTACTTTAACACAAGAATTTGAACTTCCATCGAAACCAATATCAGGCTATTGTCGTGTTAAATTAATTCGTTCACAAATATGTAATTCTGATCGACGTGTTTTAGCTGGAACAAAACAATCGACAATAAATCAATCAACTGTTTTAGGTCATGAAGGTATTGGAATTATTGAAGAATTATCAAATAATAATAAACAAAATGATTTAAAAATTGGTGATTTAGTTGTTCTTGGTCCACATTTTGTTGAAGAAAATGATATTTATTTAAAAAGAGGTTTACCAAATCTTAGTTGTCAAATGAAACATATGGGAATTCATATAAATGGAGTATTTGCAAATAAAATGGATTTTCCTGAATATACATTAAATAAAATTATTGGTGCAAATGAAATTATTCAACAAACAACTAATCTAAATGATTATTATGATCAAATGGTTTTAATTGAACCGTTAGCTTGTGTTCAACGTGGTTATAAATTATTAGAAAAACAAAATAATTTTAATATAAAAACTATAAAGAATGTTCTTATTCTTGGTGCTGGTCCAATGGGTATTATTCATGCAATACATATTCAAAAAATTTATCCTAATTTACATATTACTATAACTGATATTGATCCAATTCGACGAAAATTAGCAAAACATATAAGAAATTTAAAAATAAATGTTGTTGATGAAGATTATTTTAATAATGATATTGAATATGATTTAATTATTGTTGCTACAAGTAATAGAAAAGCAAATACTATTGATTCTATTCGATTAATTAAAAATAATGGTTTTATTCTTTTATTTTCGGGTATTGATATGAAAGAAACTGATTCAAGACCTATTATAGGTGGAATTGATATTGAAACTATTCATCGATATGAATATAGTGTTCAGTTAATTAATTATAATATTAAACCAAATGGAATAAAAACTAAATCAATCTATTTTATTGGAACATCTGGATATGTTAAAGAAGATTTTCATACATCAATTCAAGAATTACATGATGATTTTATACTTGATACACAATTTCGTTTATATAAAAATGTAATAACATCTATGATAAATAAACTCAATGGATATATTGTACATGATTTAACTGGTATATTTCATGATATTACATATAATGTACCAGCAATTATTCCATTATTACAACTCTATAATGAAGATGAAACATATACTGATAATAGTCATTTTAATGTTCATAATCATCTCAAAATTCTCATTCGACATTAATTTTCTTCATTATTATTTAATTTATATCTTAGCCTCGATTAGGTATTCACCAGTTCCAGTCATGACTGGGTCATCAATCATGTAATCTTTAGTTTATTAAATGAATAATACTACCCTCTTTTTTGTCACATAATAAAATGATATGAATCTATTAAAGACCTAATACGAAATATTTCATAGTATTAGTTGATTATTCTTGTGTTACTATGTGTCAATTGCGGTCTCATGTGGTATTATAAAATAATTTCAGATGAAATATTTCTGTCTACATAACTGAGGATGAGTATTTTTTCCTCCGTCGCATATTTACACACCGAAGGTTGAAAGTTTTGTCAGAACAAAGTGCACTGTTCGACTCTTTATGAATTTAAAGCTGTGAGTTAACTACAGATACTCTGTGATTGTAGTATAGTCATTAACATAAATTAAAGTTATGCTTCAAACGCACTCAATTTAACCCGTTCGTGTTTAATATAACAGCCAGCTTCAAAAAAAGTATATTACATTGTTGGTCAGTTCTGAAATCATGAAGAACAATTCTGTACTCATACAAATTGGAAATCTGTATAATTAGATAGATAGTAAAAAGCGATGGCATAAAAAATAAGTTATGGTTTTATGCTAATTTTCCTCTCATACATAGTCAGTGTCTTATTTATTTTCTACTGGAACTTTATAATGAAGATATGCAGCATATAAGTTATAAAAACTACTTGATTTGTATCTCTTGTTTTTTGACGATACTTATGTATTCTAATGATTGCACTAACAGATATTATTAGCTTAAATTCTGTCTCAATGAAACGAAACTCCATGATATGATATGCAGGTTTTTTTGTGGCTTAACTCAATTGAAAGCTTTCATTTGAACATTCGCCCTTCTCATTAACAAATAGTTCTCTAAAATTTAAAAAAAAATTGACAAATAAAGAAGTGTAGCTGCTCAGCCAGACAAACGTTAAAAATTAACGTATTTAAACGCCTTAAGGTTCTGTAATAACAGTGTTTAAACGAAATATTATCATTAAAACGCCGTTATTCAGTGAGTTTTAAACAAGTTAAAATGCGTTACAATATTCCAAAGCATTAAAATGGGTAATTATTTCGAAATTTACGTGCTTTTCGTCGTTATCACTATTAAACATACATACTAAAAGATGTTCACAAGACTAAATAGGTTCTCGTGCTGTCATTTCTTATAAATAACTCAAAATATTTTTCGCTCCTTGGATACTGGTGTACCCGATCAGTTATTAGTTCACTATAGCCTCTTTATTTAACAAAATTTAGTTCTTATATAATTAATTATCCATTTTATTTTTGTTACTTGCAAAGTTTTAGACTCGCATTTTTATCAACTTTCAGTTATGTGATATTGTTTAACGAATATTTTTAGTTCTTTTCTCTCTGTAGTGACTGAAGTACATACAAAATTCATTCAGCAGATATTTATTTTATCAATTCTAGTTGCTTCAATTTTCTTCAAACATATAATTTATCAGTAGTAATAAGGATAAAAATAATGCTTTTGGTTCTTATTGTCTTCAGTCTTTTTCTCTTTATGTATTGCTCTATCTCTGATTCTTCCTATTATCAAATTGACATGTCATGAAAATTTATATTTCTGTTTTCTTCTACGTTCTTTAAAAAATTCATGAACTCATATTTTCGTAACAAAGTTCACCTGAACTGGAACAAAGAAGTATAGAATATTATTTTTTACACAAGCTATTTGCCAAACAATGCTTCATTTCCGCATTTTGGTTGAAAATTCGTTTTGGTCTGTTACTCCTTTTTACCATCTTCAAAATTGATTGATTGATTGATGCCGCTCATATAGAGAAAATTGTTACGCATATATTTGCTTCTCCAAGATACTAAGTTAGCTTGTTTAAAATAAATCAGATTATTATTTTAAAAAGTTTAGAAAATTTATCTAATTGAGTGCAGGTCTAAGATTAAAGGTACAGATACATAGACATAATGGTATCGTATCGATGTACTAATATATAGAATGTAAATATAAGGATACGAGTATAATACTACACAACTAAGTACACAGAAATAAGCATGCAAGAAAGAACACAAGAATTATAGCATAGGTATGAGTCGATAGGCATAAGAGTATATGAATAAGCTACATAGGTATAGGTTTTCGGCAGTTACGAATATGGAATTATAAGACTGGATATATAAGGCTATACGAACAAGAGTACATATATAAGAATATGAACATAAAAGCATCCTAGATATGAATACATAGAGATAAGGATATATGTAGATATAAAATAGTATGCAGATATAGACAAAGATATAGGACTTATGGAGTAATAACATAGGTGTAAAGATGTTAGGATAATAGTACCCTCGAGTAATCACAAATAAATTCCAAATGATCATGATGCATTACATTATCTATCTTGTCTATAGAACATAGTTAACTGCTCTATCGAATGTTTAACAATACAGTTATACAGCAGAGCTTCAAATGGGTCAGCTTATGAGCCAATATGAACTGAAGGTCTCTTGAGAATTACTGTGTGATAGCACAATGTGAAACATTTTCTTCCTCTTCTCTTTTCTCAACACTCGTTCCTCGCTTGTTTGATCAGCAGAGGTAACGTGTTCAAGATTCAAGGTTCTTCACCCTTGAATTTTCTTTATTAAATGAGTTCAATCATGTACTCGCAAAAACAAAAAAGATACAATGATTTCAACAAGAACAGAAAGGGATTTAATGATAGATGTATAACAACAGATGAAGATATCAATTCAAGTACAATAAGCAAAAATCAGTTTTCAACAACATTAATTGAAGAATCACCCAACACCATATCCAACAATACACAACAGGCTCAAATTATTAATCTTAATGTCAAATTTTATGTTCCAGTGCATCAAAATCACCTTTTACATGGAAATAAAACAAACAAACATGCTTACAATGAAGCGTCATCAATAAATATGATGAATCATCATACGAATAACAACTTGAATCATAATTATGGTACTGCTATTATAACACCTGATAACTACTACCATCTTCCGGAAAAGTCAAACTCAACTCCCAAGAGAAGTAGAGATCAATTAAATAAATCAACTGAGCAGAAGAAAAAACCTAGACATGAAGATGAAAATTATCGGCAACAAACAAATAGGTCCTCGCCTAAAGGTAGTAAACCATCTCAAGGTTCAAACTTAAAGATGATGTCTTCTAATTATTGTCAAACAACGACAACAACAAAAACAAACATCAACAAATCATATAACATCCCAATTGATCAATTGAAAAGAGCAGTTGGGTGTAATCTCCCCTGCCTTGTGATCCAGTTTGACAGTAGCATTGCTTTACGTAATCTTCCGTCAGCAATTATTGCTTGTGATTTAATTAAAGACCATTTTAACAAAAACAACATTGATATAAATGGGTTTTCGGTTGCTCTGTTTGTGGGACATCGTTTAAAGATAGCTGTCAATAACATGGAAGATTATGCAACACTTGTCCGAACGGACAAATGGCCATCATCAATTAATGGAAAGAAAATAGAAGTGATCAAACCAAAATTTGTTCCTGAATGCTTTACACTGGTAGTACGATATGTTCCCCTGGACCTGTCAATTCAAGATGTTGCTGATGAAATTAAACGCTCAATCAATTCGGCCGACAATTTCAAACAAATTATGTATTCATTTAATCGTCCCAACAAAGATATAAGATTTACAGTTTCAGATTTAGTTGAATACGAAAGTGCATTAAAATTAGGTCGCTTAAATATTGCAAATCGCCTTCATCCAATTACAAGATATCTGCCAGCGAACAAATTAACTTTTTGCACCAATTGCTGGCAAATCGGTCATTTACGTTCTTCTTGTAATTCAAATGTTCGTAAATGTCGAATTTGCCTTGGAGTTTTCGATCGAGATCATTCTAGCATGTGCTCGGGTATTCCTTGTTGTGCACAATGCGGGGCTTGATCATCATTCACTCGATCCCAAATGTGAATATATACAAAATTATCGACAAAAACTCAATCAAGAAGTAAAACAAGCAGTTATCGATGGTACAATTATAGAAGAACTGTTCAACTCCATCATCATCAACATCAAATACCATATTCAAAATCAAATTATGATATTGATTATCCTTCATCATCGACCAACAACAATAACGTTAAAATGTTAGATAATAATACATGGCCACGTACAAACTCGCAATCAATAACAAACAACAGTATAAAGTCCAGCACTTCAATTACTTCAATGCTGATAAAGATGGACCAAGATTTTAAAAATGAAATCCATTCCATTAAAAAATTCATTTTGAAAACACTAGATGAAAAAATTAATATTAACTCAAGCAATATTCAATTACATCAAGTTAGCTTGTGTACAATTAACTCAACAATCACAAAAATCTCACAAAATGTAGTACTCCCATTGATAAACCTTATTCCAAATTCGAAGCGGGAAATGAAACAACAAATATCTTCTGCTCTTCAAGAACTGGAAGCTCCGTTTCGTATACATGCAGATCATATGCGAATGAATTTTAACATTGGTTACAACAAACAAGAATCCAATAATATTACTTCAGCAGTACCTTTTACTAACAATATTAATCGGAACCAACCATCATCGTTATCACCATCAAATGATACACCAACCTTAATAGAAGATTCGGACCGGATGGTAGATGATAATTAGTAACAATGACAATATCTATTTTAAATGTTAATGCAAGTGCTTTTTATCCTCATTCAGTAGTAGATAAGGTTGAAAAAGATATTGAACGACTAAGAATCTGGGGGTTTTCCGAGAAGATGATAGAAAAAATATCAAATTATTTAACAGAGTGGCACTCTATGTCCTTGAATGTATTATTGCAACATTGGGAACGCGTTCACATGGACGTTAAAAGTTTTAATTCTTCCTCCTTTGTAGATCCATTAAAAAATTGTTTATATAATGTAGAAGGTTGGAAAACACGTAGATTAGAAGTAATCGATCTAATTTATTCGGTAGAGACCTCTATATGCATATTTACGGAAGTTGGTGAACAAGGACATGATTTTAAAATTTCCGATTACAACACCTTCTATCAAACTGGGCTGAATAGATCCGGTGGTGTTTGTATATGTCTAGGAAAAAATTTGAAAGGAGTGGAAATAGATTCATCTATTCCAAATACAGTCGTGGTTGATATCTATGGACTAAGTGAACCACTTAGAATAATTGGAATTTATTGGGCTGCAAGCCAACAGAGAAACTTAATGGATCTATCCAATTTTGTTATCAATAACACACTAATAGCTGGAGATTTTAATGCAGCAGCAATGGACTGGGGAAGTCCTACCGATGACAATCGTTCATTTTTACTGAAAGAATGGATAGAAGAAAATGATCTCTTATATGTAAAAAATACCTTTAACTCTTCGAGGCGCTCTAAAAGAAACATCGATCATCTTTTTACAAATATCAGGAATGTAAAAGGAGAGACTATTGCCTTTGGGACTAGCGACCACTGGCCCATCATATATACTTCCAATACAATTAGCTATCATACTCACTCTTCGTTTCCTCATACAAGTTGGAAAGAATATGAAGTTCTCTTATGTTTACTTCAGGATTTTTGGTTCGATCTTCAAAAATCTATTACACTAGATGATTGGTACAAACTGTACATTAGGTTTTTAGGAGCAGCAAAAAACCGAGTGACAACTTGGAAAAACAAAGAAAAATTTAGACCAGCTCTACCGGAATTTATTCGGAATAAACTTAAGGAGTTAAGAAAAGTAAGAAATAATTATTATAGGAAAAGAAGATATGATATTGACAATGAAGCAGAAAGAATTCTATTGAGAACATTAAACAGAGAAGTACAAGCAGATATAGCAAATTATCGATCAAAACGTTGGTCTAATTTCCTTGAGAAAATTCAAGAAAGTAAAACAAAAAATGATGTAAACTTCTGGTCACATTTAGGAAAATTATATAAACAAAAATCACTTCCATTCGCAAAACTGAAGGTGAACAATAAGATTATATCAGATAAAGAAGTAATAGCACAAGAATTATATAAATATTATACTGATCAATTTCAACCTCCATATATTGATAGAAACGATCCCCACGATTCAGAGATTGAAAATGAATTCCAAGATATATTAAAATCCTTTTCTAACTCGATGGAAATAGAACAGACAAATATTAAAGAAATTTGTTATGCAATAAAGTCTCTTAAGCCAAAAAAATCAGCAGGGTATGACTCGATATCGAATTTTATGCTCAAGCTACTTCCTCCCGGTTATTTGCAATGTCTCTGGAATTGTTTTAACCTATGGCTAAAAGAATGTAGATTTCCACATGATTGGAAAGTGGCCAAAGTTATTAGCTTAAACAAATTAAAGACTGGTATTCCTAGTAGCGATCAAACTCGCCCTATATCTCTCTTAGCAACACATTCAAAAATTTTCGAAAGACTTTTATTAGTAAGAATTCGGAATTGGGCAGAATTGAATAGCATTATTCCTGTTGAACAGTCTGGTTTTAGGCCGAATTGTTCAATTCCAACAAGAGTTTTGTCAATCTATCAAGAAATACAAAATAATCTGGCTGCCAATGTCCCTACACTATCTATATATGTAGACTATCAGAAAGCATATGACAAAGTTTGGCATGCAGCCTTAATTGTAAAACTAAATCGATTAAATATCCCAAAGGAAATTTTGAAAATACTATGGTCTTGGATATCTCAACGGTCAGCATTTGTCGCCTACGGAGACGTCAACACTAATCAGTTTTCATTGTCGATAGGACTCCCCCAAGGAAGTAGTCTGAGTCCCTTTATTTTTATCATATTTCACTCGGATCTCATAAAATGCACAGGTGCCTTTCCGACACATATTTTTGCAGATGACCTTAACGTATTAATTAGAGCGCCAATCGGAAAGAAATTAGAACCTATGCTTCAATTCCTGGAACAGGACGGCTCCAGAGTATGTAATAAGTTGTTTCAATACACAAGAAGGTGGAAACAACCAATAAACATTTCAAAGTCAGTTTTTCAAGTGTTCCACTCCCAAATAAATCTAAGAGTTCTTACAGTAACAATGAACAATATCCATTTAGAATGTGTAAAAGATTTTAAGTATCTCGGATATAACTGGACAAGTAAATTATCCATGTGTAAAACGATAGCAAATTGTTTAGAAAAGATTCAACAATCTTACACTAAATTAAAGTGGTTGAAGCGCAATAGAGGGATCTCTACCGTAGTTTTGCGGCAATGTTTCTTTACATATTCATTCCCCTATTTCTCTTGGCTTTTTTGTCTCTTTCCCTTTCTTCCGACTACACAAAAAGAGATGCTTAAGAAGAAATACAGAGCTGGACTGAGGTTAGTCCACCGATGCCCATGGGCAGGAGCACAAGAACTTCATAATTTTACTCAAGAGAAAGAATTAGATCAATACGTAAAAAGATACATCGCCAAGAGGCTCAACAAGATATACAAGTCAGATCTATCGTCGTCACTCTTTTTTGAGGATATATCCTTCTGGAATGATTTTAAGAAAAGAAAAAATGATGGACTAGGCCATTACTTCCAACTAAAAAGAGTGAAAAATCTGATAAAAAATCATAAGTCACTCTTGGGTATATGGCTACAATTTGTTCAGGACAAATGACCCCCTTGTGACGGTACGGTCACTACTGATTT